AAGATGAGAAGAAAGATTTAAAAAAAAAAAAAAAAATGAAGGTGAAGTTCCTAAAAGGAAGGGCAAAATATTTAAGTCAGGAAAGGCAGAGAGACAAGGACTGGGACAGGGAGGTAGTAAGTGTGGCCACTACAGCCGAGTTTAAAGGAAGACTCTGTTTAAAGGACCAGGTTTCTAGACTAAAGACTCTATTCTAGATTACAACCCACTTGTCTGACACCAAGAAAATCACTTGATTGGAAAGCAGATCACACACTTGTCTAGCACTCAGCTAACAAGGCATTCGTAGGAAAAAAAAATATGTACAACACCAGTGAAGAAAAGTTCTCTTAACACTAAGCATGGTAACATTTTTCCAAGCCCAGCACTCCGTAATGTGTGTTTTCCTGCATGGGTGTTTTTTGGACTGGACACATGGCAAGACAGTGGGTGTGATTTACAACATGTCATGACAATTATGTGAAGTAAATGGCCATTGAATGTAGGGCATCTGTGTTTCTATCAGGTCAAAGGAAATAACAGCAATTATCCATGTCAAATTTGTTACCTTGCCATTACACAGACTTCCACTCTATTGACCTTCTTGAACATTGTTTCACTAGATGGTGAGGGCAGGGGCTCCTTATCAGGTCCTGGGGCAGATGGGAGCCCAGTTTCTACATGGGCATTGCTGCCAGAAGCCGAAGATAGGCACCTGCTGGACAGGCCATCCTTTGGGGCCATGGCCTCATCAAACCATTATAAAACAGTTCTTCTGAGTAGCTCTAGTTCCACCTGTTGGAAGTGAGCAAGAGGAAGAAGTGTTTTTGGGAGACACCCTGTGTGCCTTTCCTGAACTTCCACAGTAAGTTACTTCTGGGTTTCCTTAGGATCCCATTTCTCCATGCAAACCTGCAAATGTTCATTAAATCCCATTCCCCAATTCATTAATGAAGATGGTGAACAATGGACAGCCCCAGTATCTATGGCTGAGAATGCAGGAGTAATCAGCTGCCAGCTAGACTTTGTACCACTGATCACAGACAGTATCCCTCCAAGCCCAGCTGATCAGCTAATTTTCTACCCATTATGCAGGTCACTTATTCAAACCATCTCTCTCCAATTTGGCTACAAGAATACCATGAAAAGAACCTCATTAAAGACATTTTCTACAGTCCCTTTGTACACAGAATCTGTCATCTCTTCATAAAAGGCCAACAGGTTGGTCAGGTGTGATTTACCCTTTGTAAATCCACGCTGATTGTTCCAAAACACCTTACCCTTGCTGTACTTGGATAGTCATGGCTTCAGGGAGAATTGTCCTATGATCTTTCCAAAGAAAGCGGTCAGGCTGGCTGATCAGTTTCCTGTAGTTCTGTGGGTCATCTTGTCTTTGAAAGTTAGTGGCAAACGACATTTACTTTTTTACACTTATCAGAACCTCATCAATGACTCTCTTGGGGCACAAAGGCTAAAATGACAGAAGTGTTAGCTCTTCCAGCTGGTACAGAAAGTGTTCTAGAAGGGAATGTGAAGAAAAGAGAAGACAGACAGCAACAGGATAGTTTCACACCCACATCCTACAGTTCTGTACCTGTCAGGGCTCAGCAAGGACGAGCAGCTCTCTAAGCATCAGGGGCCAGAAGCCAAGAGAGATATCACAACTGGCAAGACAGGGGCCTCACCAGCCAAGGCCTCATCCCCACAGCTCCCATGCAAGGCAAGCAGGAAAGGGACAGCAACCAGGGTCAAGCCAGAGACCAGATCACCAGACAAGCTTGTACTGACAACGGAGGGCCAATGTGAAGCCAGGATCTGAAGGTCAGGATCAGATGCAGTAATGGTAACCAGAGTCAGAGACAGTCATGATTGACAGACAGCTTCAAAGTAATAACATATATCTGAGTCCAGGCAGGAAGACAGTCCATGGGTCAGGGTCTTGGTCAATGGGCAATTTCCATGCACACAAACAGACATAACTGTAACAAAGCTAGAGACAGGTAGACCTTAACCATTGTTCAGGCAGGGACTGAAGCCCTGGTTTGATAAATAGAGTTCCTGGGACCATGAGCAGGAGGTGTGGGCAGAGGTCCCGCATAGGGATGATAAGGACCATTAATACCTCCTAGTGCTCTCAGAGCCAGGACAGGAACCTTTCAAGTACAGGCAGTACACAGGACAATGGGCACACATCACATGCACGTGCACATTCAGCGGTAGTGAATGTCCTCACACTCATGTCTGTCAGTTTGCTTCAAGCAACACAGCACTAGTTTTTTCAAAGTAGACACATCTAGGTAGATGTCAGCATCTTGCCTGTCCAAGGCTAAGGGCTTGCTGTGGTATCATGGCTTCAGTCAGAACCATATGGAGCAGGAGAAATGGCAACTGAATAAGAGCATCTGGCACAGTCCTCTTAGCACGCACATGCACGCAGCAATGACTCAGTAAGCAGAGCACAGGGCAAAGGCTTCCAGGAGAGCTACTGAGCCAAAATGTGAACCAAGCAGAAAGGATGTGTCCAGTCTGTCCCAAAGATCCTAGCTTCACTAGAGCACTGTAAATGTGGTCACAGAGCCAAGATTCACCCCTTGGTATAAGTGAAGAAGAAGATGTAGCTAAATCCACTGGGACTCTCACTTACTGGGTGCACAGAGGCACTGAGCAAGCTTCCCCAAATACTTAGAGTATAATCATCATGGGTCAATGGATTGAATAATTTCCTATTGAAAAGAATTCGTTCAAGCATTTAACTCAGCTTCATGTATCATTGTGGAGAACAAAACCCAAAATAAATTCTTGACAGGAACTATGTGTTGTTTGTACTGGGTACACTTAAGGATACAATGAATCTTCCTTAATGTAGGCAGTATAATATGGGTGCTAAACTCCCAAGGAACTGCAAAATAAAACCTTCTCAGAGTTGCCAATGTTATTACAAAATTATCCAGTGGCAACATTCCCCACAGACTAATAACTGGACATCTTAGCCAGGAAGGAAAAAAAAAAAACAACAAAAAAACAAAAAAACACAGAAAAAACCCCCAACCCCCAAAGAACTAAGTTATTAGGACTGCTGTGCCAGACAGGAAGGCAGTTAAAAACCTCTCAAATAATTCCCTAGTTTGAGAGAAGAAATGTATACATGGTGGAGGGGGAGTGGAAAAAAGGAGGCTGAAGGGAGACCTTATCACTCTCCACAACTACCTGAAAGGAGGTTGTAGCAAGGTGGGCATCAGTTTCTTTTCCCAGGTAACAAGTGATAGAACAAGGGGATATGGCCTCAAGATGCACCAGGGGAGGTTCAGATTGGATATTAGGAAAAGGCTCTTCACCAAAAGGGTTGTCAAGCATTGGAACAGGCGGCCCAGGGAAGTGCTTGAGTCACCATCCCTAAAGGTATTTAAAAAGACGTGTCGATGTGTTGCTTAGAGACATGGTTTAGTGGTGGACTTGGCAGTGTCAGGTTTATGGTTGGACTCAATAATCTTAAAGGTCTTTTTCAACCTAAGCAATTCTATGATTCTATGACTTTTCTCCCAAAAAAGCCAATTTTTAATTCAACATACAGATACAGGTAGGAAATTATGTTATGCTCCACTGGGTAGTTATATCCAAGATGTCTACAAGCATACATTTTTGGGAATGGAGTAGTACTGAAGGCTTTGTAAGTACCCATGCCAACTACTTCCCAACTTCAAGTCAGAGGCAGGGAAGAAAGGAGGAAAAAAAAAAGATGCTGAAGAGAAAAACATTCCTGATACATTTTCTGAAGTATAAGTACGTGCTGTTAGGAGTTCATTAGAAAAAGCTTGGGCTATGAAAACTTGTAAGAAGGAAGATCTGACACTTACTTTAAAGCTGCTTTTCATCTACAGGAATATCTTCAATGCCTGTTTAACTACAAAAAAACACAACTCTGTACTTTTAAACTTAAAAAAAAAACAAGGCATAGCCTTCAAAAGTTTATTTCAAGTATAAAAATTGTTCAATGAAATATCTAGAGTTTTTACTTTCAGTATAAAGGTTTAAACATATAGAAAGAATAAAGTATCAAATTTCTGAAAAAATATTATTCAAGTCAAAATTTGGAACAATAGTGAAAAGGCACTTAAAAAAAAAAAAGATATCCAGCAACAAATATAACTCACTTGTCACAGTGAATGTGTAGTCAAACATTATCTAACACTTCATAAACAAAGAAATTAATTACAGTCTGGTTAAAGTGAGCAACATAGTCTGGAAAAGAGTGAATTGAAACTCCCTGCACCTCAACAACCGCACTTTTCTTTCAAGTGTAAAGAAAACAGAGAGAGAGAAAACCAAGAGAAGAGAAGTTTTTAGTCAACTATCAGCTTACAGAATTGTGTTCAGATGAAGAACTCAGAGTTCATTTTGTACAAGTTCCACAAAAAGAAGTGTAAGAAAACTGGGTAGCAGCATAAGTAATTTATGGTATCCCCTGACCTGTATGTTTGATTTGAGGGTTTTATATTTGTATTCCCAGTTTAAAAAAACAGTTTCTACAAAAATAGAAAGCCTTTTCAGAAGCACAACAATCAGACTATCACATACACAAAATAAAGGTGTAATGCTTGGGAATCCACTGCAATCCCTTTCCAGTAGGAATACTTTTCCACTGCCAGCAATGGAAAGTACAAATAGAAGTCTTCCAGAATCAGAAAAGAAAACAGACTATGACAATTTAAATGAGTTTCAGAATTTTTTTTTGTCAAGATTCAACTAACTCCTGTATCTTTAAAAAAAAGATTCAAATATGCCAAAAAGAAACAATACATTTGACAATGGCAATTTCAGCACCAAAGGGTATTTGTGCAATAAATACAAAATAAGATCACAATCATTCACAAATATGAGGGAAATAGGGGAAAGATTGCCAACACCCCCAAATTATTTTTTTTTTACCATTTTTCAGAAACAAAGTAAATAGGAAAAAGCATTTTCATGGTGCCATTTTTTTCCAGGTGATACTGAATAAGACCTACGATACAGGAGTGCTATCAAGACTTTTGCACCTTTTTTTCCAGATACATTTTTCTGTACGCCTGAAATATCTCTTTTGAGTCTTTGATTGGCATGTGAAGGGCCTCACCATCTCCATCCAGGATCTGTATAGCTGTATCAAGTGGAATACTGTCCTCAGCTGAAAGACAGATAGAGAAGCAAGTTAAAGCAAATGTCTAAGTCTCAAATGACTATTCCTTATGCATGTGGTACTTAAGGCCACCCACTGTCAAAAAGGATGCCATAAACTTCCTTCCTAAAGCACTAGGCACCTCAGATTTAAAACAATCTCCAATGCATCTTTAAGCAACAAATGGTCATTTGAGCACCTTCAGAAGAGATTTCTAAAGAATATTAAGAAAGGTGTGAATGAAAGTGTGCATTTGCGAAAGTAAGAGAAGAAACAAGAGAAAGAGCTAAAGAATGGCAGACACCAATAGTCAAGGACACACTCAACTGCAATAAAAGATGTGTTGCCTGCATCAAAACTCACAACACAGATAACTTGTCAGCAGAGGACCTGGACTCTGATAAGAGGATGACAACAGGGTTACAAGCATGCTGAATACACCATTTTGCCTCCTGTTAGACCAGCGGGAGAACAAGACTATAGCTAGAAAGTTACCTAAAGCAAAGAAACAAATACACCAGGGAGCAACCTTGCCCAAGGTCTACAAAGGAGGGAACAACCAAGATCCTAAGATGAAAGATGCCACTGTTGTACCCGTTGACTCCTAAAAGGTACAAAAGACCATCCAAACAGTAATTTGCCAATCAAGAGAAACAACAAAGATGCAGGAGTGGCACCTCTTTTCCTCTGTGTGTCAAACAAGTAATTCTGTCCATACTATTGGAACAAAGGTCCCAGTATTTGTGAGCACAGGTATTTATGCAGACAGTGTCAACTTACTGGGAAAGCAAAAACTAACTAAATAAATAAATCACTTTCTGGTTTTATAGTCCCACACTAGATTTTGTTAGGTCACTTCCTACATTGTGAAGTGGGAAAGAACAAGCTTAGCCTTTACTGACAGTTTAAAACTGTACCCGAATCTTGTCACCAGTGCTACTTCCGATTCAACTGCACACACACATGCAGGAAAATTCCAACCATTTCCAACATATTCTTATGGTAATAAAAAACTCCACAAATCTTTGAAACTCACACGTCTACTCTGCAGTATCCATTTCAGCAGCAGAGCCAGTAAAGAGTAAGTTAAAATACTTTATTAAGATTTGCTACTGTAAAGGAACACTTAAAACAAAGCAAAGAGTATTAAACTTATATTTCAAAATGGATAATCAGAAGTCATTTCACCTGTAGAGATCCCCTCCAGCTTTTTTTGCTTCACTGGATCATATTTTAACCAATCTTCTTTTTTACTCTTTACACCTAAAAAGAAAATTTAAAAAAATGTTTTTGAGGTTCCTATATCACAAGTTTTGGTCTCTATTCAGCATCAAATTTTAACACATATATTAGCACATGCACAAGTAAATTTCCTTTGAGTGTGAAAATTACTGCAACAGCTGGTACGTACAGCTTAAGATTTAGTTTTATTTAAAATCAAATACAGCGTTTGACACAAATGCTTCACAATGCGCCACATAAAATGTCAAAAGATTGAGGATAGGAAAGAAGAAGAGGTAAAAAAGGCAGCTTAAAGCAAAGACAGCAAAGGTTACAGAGACTGTGTACAGGATACATCTGGCCCAAGCCCTCTCTCCCCCTCCGCTGCCTACCCAGCCAGATTTATACACAACCAGATGAACGCTGAACACAAATCAGATCACGTTTGGTAACTATGCCAAGGGAATCTGCTTTCTACAAACAAGCTAAGCTATCTTCTACAAGTAGGTTAGAAAGCTTTCTCATGAAGTTACTCAAAACCACCATGCTCTAGACTACTCAAACTTTATTCTGTAAAACTTAAGGAAAAAGAATACAACATTAAATTGAAGGAAAACTCTCACGCTCTTTTTCAGCTTAACACACAGCTACAGGCTGTCACAAAGCTAGCTAAGCTATTTCAGCCTTCAGCTTCCAGAGTCCCATGTTTTCACAGTCTGCAGTTTTGTGTAACTGGAATCTAAAAAGGAGTACATTTAACTTGCAAATTAATAATCAAGATATCATCATCATACCTGCCACAACGGGTTTCTCTCTTTCCAGGGAATTCTTTGCAGCTAGGCTTTCTTCACCAGCGGTTGGATTTCTGAACAGTATCTCTGGACACAGCTTAAATTCAAGTACTTCCAGTTTGCATGATTTCTCAGCTTCTGAGACAGAAGCATCTCTGTTTACATTTGGCTTATTTTGTGACACTTTGGGCTTCATATGCCAAATGGGTCTGACAGGTGATGTCTCTAATTTTGTCAGATATATGCGTTCCTGTGCCGTACGTTTAAATGCAACTCTGTTCAAGTAGTGTTTTTTTGGTTCCTTTTGAAGATGCAATTTTAGTTTGTTATTTCTTCTATTTAAGTATAACAGATTTTTATCAGGAAATATTTTCTCAGAGCACTTGTCTTTGTTTTGACCATCAAGATGTCTCTCTTTGTTAGAAAAGTAGTTTTTAGAGATGGTAGAAGATCGAGCCCTTTTTCGCTGTAGTTTAAGCACAGAGCAGTCTGCTAATGAACTCTTTGGTTTCCAGCCATTTTCCCCATTCCCTTTTTTAGCTTTGTCAGCATTTATCATGCAATTGTGTGAAAGCTGCTTGGAATTCTGTGGTTCAGATTGTTTCAGTCTTTCCTCATCCACCTTTGTTTTCTTAGGGTCTCTCTTCCAAACCGTGCTTTCCTTCCTCTTCCGTTTGTATGACTGCTCCTGTGACGGATGAACTTTCAGAGATCTATGCTGAGTGTATGTATGGCTTCTTGACTTTAAGTCTACAGTGCCAAAGTTTGGGAGCTTTACAGCATCAGCACGATAACTATTCAGCTTTTTAGGTTTTATTTCTGCTGATAATTTGTCTCTCTCTTTGATGTTAATTCCTACATCTTGCCCAGGTATCTCCTTTTGTTTCTGACCGTTCTGTTCTTCAGCAGAGTTCTCTTCACAGGTTTTAGTTTTTTGTCCTTGATTGACTTCAGCATGCTGGATTTCAACAGTTTCTGACTTTGCAGATTTGTGAATGTCTGTTTTGGATTTCATGGCCAAACCTGGTTTTGTTTTATCTTTTAAAAGGGACTCCATTTTGAAAACTTTCTCTTTCTTTCTGGATGAATTTGTCATGTCGTCTGTATCAGTATGACCAGCTTTCTCTGACAACTCTTCTGAGACTGTCTGGTGTTCTTTTTTGTCAGATTGAAATTCTTTGCCTAACGATGTTGTTCTGTCAGCTTGCAGCTCTTCCTTACAACTGTTCCTTTTAGATTGATCAATATCCTGGTTTTCAGAGGAATTAAGTGGTCCAATTTTTTCTTGTGTTGTAAGTGGTTTGCATTCATTATTCACCTCTAGCCTAGCTTTCTTCATTACAGAGATGTCTTTGCAAATATCTTCCTTATTTTTGCTAACACTGTTTGGGATTTTTCCTGAAACTGGCAGGTTTTCCATTGCACAGTCGTTCTTCATTACAGCATCAGATTTACCGTTGTCTCCTTGTCTCTCTACAGAGCTAGTATTTTCAGCTTTTGAAAGCTGATCATCATTTTTCTCTGAACCAGACATTCCAAATTTAGAGAGGCACAGAGGCATTTTACACACTACAGACAGCTGATCCACTGAAGAACAATCGTCTTTTTTTCTGGGGTCTGAGGGTTTTGGTGTGGTTTTTTTATTCTCACATAGACTCTGACTGGGCTGAATACCGCCTTCAAGGTTCTTCTCAGCTGAAGCCTTTTCTGACTGTTGACTCGCTAGTCTCTTGCTGTCATTAGAGGGACACCAGTTGTGTTCAGGAAACAGTTCTTGCATCTGACCAGAGCTTAACACTTCAATTTTTATCTGATCTACTGGGTCCTCCACATGAGGATTCTTGTTACAAATCTGAGTCTCTTTTTGAGGCTGATTCTCCATCTGCTCAGCTACAGAATCATTTTGTGCTGGTTCTTTTGATAGCATTTCACCACCTTCAATGCCATACGGAAACTCTTTCACTAGTTCAGAGAGCTGATTGTTTAGACATTTAATAGGTCCTGCTCCAAAAAGGTTAATCTTTTTTGCTGTGCTATTTTTGCTGGACATGTAATTTTGTTTATTGTGGTCTCTTGGAACAGTGAACACATTTGTTTCAGCAGTTACGCTGATTGAGAAGTCTAATGAATTTTGAGCTAACTCCTGGTTTATACTAGCAAGAATTTCCAAGTCATTTTCAGGATGCTTGGAAGATGCATTGAGTGACTTCTTTTGTTCTGAGGTAGGAATTGTTTTAGGAGGATTGCCACTGCTTTCTTTCTCCAAATGACTAGTTGTGAAACCATCCGAAATCTTACCTGCTTTACTCATACAGCCTGATGGTTCTTCCAACATTTTTTGCAGCAAGCTCTCTCTTTGGGGAGTGCTATTGCTCCGCTCCTTTTTATACAAGTCCGGCCGTTGCTGCTTTTGCCTTGGGCCAGATGCATTTGCTTCTGATGAGGTATCACTTAATGCACGTGTTTCAGGGACTGACCCGAAGATACTTGCTATTTGTGGATTATAAAATGCATCACCTTCAACAAGTGAACATACGCTCGAAATACAAAACATCTGTTCTTCCAATCCAGCTGTGGATGTATCTCCTGTCTCTGACACAGTTTGCTTGTCCTTACTGTCTCTTACACCTTCCTGAAAGATTTGACTAGAAAAATTTATGTCCAATTCAGGAAGAGAAGGCTCGTTTTCTAATGCAAGCTGCAGATTTTCTCTGGCACCTTGTGCAGATTGACTAACTTTCCTTTGGTTTTCATCATATGAATCGTTTGCACTCACACTGTATTTTACTATACTGTTTCCATCAGCTAATTTGGTCTGTTGCAAATGTGAGTCCACTTTCTGCACCAGAACACAATCACTGGGTGAGGACCGAGCAGTTTCTGTTATTCCTTTATCAGTATTTACCACACTTAAACCATTTTTCCCCTCTTCTTGCAAGTTACATGTGCTTCCCGAGTCAATCACTGGATAGGTTTTACCTGCAGACGTTGGACATTTGTCTGCCTGCTCATTGTGTGTTCTCTGTTCAGAAAGTACTAAAGGAGAGACAACTGCCACTTGGAGATCAAAACTTTTTATCAAATTGCAACTCAGTGTATCAAGTTTTTGTCCTACAGAAGCAGTTGTCATAGGCAAAACTGCTTCATCTGTACTAGCCAGAACATTATTTTGTTCTTTATTTTTTGTGTTTTGGCTGTAAGATGAAATCTGATTTGCTGTGGCGCTTTCATTTGATTGACTCTTTTGCACACTTCCAGGTTCCGACGGGTGCTTTCTCCACAAGCCCAGGCAAGCAGTTAGCTCTTCCACAGAGTAACGATAATTGCTCTGTTTAAATGATGTATTTTCAGTAAATGGTGTTTTTTTCTGAGCTACATCACTCTGGAATTTAGCTTCACCAGATTTGGTCGTTTCTGATACAGGAGAGTTTGTATGAGCCATAAATGCCTGCTCACCTTCCAAACTTTCTACATTCTTCTTACTAGTGTCTTTTAATAAGCTTCCGCCTGAAACACACGTATCTGCCAGCGGTTTTTCACCACATAAGAGATTAGTCAGTATTTTATCAGCAGTAGCACCAGCTGTCTTCTCTTTCAATATATTTGTGCTGCTCAATACAAAATGAAGAAACGACGAGTTCTTGGGGTTAACTGGCACGTTCTTTGATGAAAATTTGATAGAGCCATCCACTTGACTAAAACATGACACATTGTTCCAGGTTGTCACAGCTTTTTGAGAAGAGGCCAGGGCACACGCATCCCTTTGTTCCAAGACAGGAGTGCTCTCAAGATTATTCAGTTGAGCTGGGAGTGTGCTCTGAGGGGGAACAGGAGCAGAGCTTGATAAAAGGCTTCCCTGTTCCACCCGGGGGTTACTTTGAGTCACCTCTAATCCTCTGTTATCAGCACTGGCTACATTTTTGTCACTTCGTTCTTCAGGTGAAGAGTTAAGTATTGTGCTCTCTGTCCTTGCTATTTCAGATGAGGAAGGTGGCACATTTTGGTTGGGTATGCATGGAAGATGATTAGCAAGATTATCTTGATACCCTGCAGGACGTGAGGGAGCACTTTTGTCGTGTTCTGAAGCTGCTAAGAGTTTTCTTCTATAATGATGCATCCTTTCAAGGAGGACACATTTTTTTTTAATAGCAAGTAGCCTTCGAGCTTCCCAAGCTAGTCTGTCCTTTGTAATCGTTCTTCCATCTGCTGCTGCTGAAGTTTGAGAATTTACAGGCCCATTCACTAAACTACTAGTCTGGCTTTCTTGAACTGAAGCAGGATCATTCAGTGGCTTCGAAGTAGCCACTGAAGAAAAAGCTTCCATTTCTTTCAAAATATCATACAGTTCTTTGGAAATGCCAGGGGATGGCACAGGCTTTTCATTAAAAGGCTGATTTGCTGTCACATTTCCATCTGAATTACAGACATTCCTAGCTGACTGACTGACTTCTCCAGACTGCCGCTTCTGACAGTGCTGCTGAACACTGGTAAAACCAGAAGCATTTTTTGGATCCGATGGGCGCCTCTGTTGGCTAAGGGTGTATCCATTAGGCACATTTTGAACTGCCTGTGGTACGCCTATTGAAGATTGTGCTGCAGCTCTTGAATCACAGTTGGCAGGTAACAAAGACGGTACAGAACATCCACTAGGAACTTCTGATCCTATCTGACTCGGTCGATATTGTGGCAGCTGTACATTTGCTTCAGTATTTTGATTCATTAAGTGTAAAACCGGAAACTGAGTGTTGGGATGATATATTTGGTTTTGGACATGTTGCCCAGATGTACTAAGAGTCATAGAACTATTCTGGGAATTAATGTTACTTTGATATAACATTGTAGTTCTCACAGAATTATGCTGTGGCATTTGTGGCCGTACAGTATAGCTGTTTGTGGTGACATACTGAGGTTCCCAAAGTGCATTCCCCACGTTATTTCCAGCGTTCATTTGAGACGACAGGGGAGGTAACTTTCTAGGGGAATACATGTAGACATTAGAGGTTTGCCAAGAAGTCTGAGTCACCTCTGCCCGCAAATGCGATGTCTGATTGGGAGGTTTTGGTACACAGGACGGTAGATGTCGATCAACTGAGTATTTAGAGATTAAAAAATCATTACCAGCTACAGATGCTCCTGGTAAGGCCTGATCTGAAGTTTTGAATCCTTCAGCATTTACAAGAGGGAAGGCAACATTGTTAGTTGTCAGATACATCATTTGGCTATTTCCAGCATAAACAGATGCATTTTTAGAGAAACAGGCATTTGTCTGTGGAAAAGTATGCGCATTAGAAAGCAACTGAGTGTAACATGCTTCTTCACTCTGCAGGTTCCTCTTTGCGTTAGCATTCTGGAGAGGTCTTGCATTCCAGTCCATCTTTTCTTGGTTTCTTTTTCTTCAGCCAAAACCCAAAATGCTTTAAAAAAAAAAACAAAAACAAAAAAACAGACATCAAACCTTAATCTTTCTATCAAAACCTATTTCACTTATCAAGAAGTAATTTAGAATGCATTATGAACACCACTGTTGAAAGAGCAACTCCACTTGTATATCCCGTAGACATCAATGTTGCCACTGTCGAGTTGCATAAATTATTTCCCAGAACACAGTCAAGGTACAAAAAGTCAGAGTAGAAACTAAATTATATTGACTGTTTAATGAATAACAAAGTCCTCACATTATTATGCTAATACTATTATCATTCAACTTTTAAATTTAACAATAGATTGATATATTTACCTTCTTATCCAAAAATGATGTAAAAAAACCCAATGTAAAGCAATGTTTAATAGCATAAGAAGCACCTACATAATATAATACAGTAGGTCAGCTTTCAGACAAGAAGACAACTTAAATTATACCTTTAAATACAACAACAGAAAGGAGAAAAGGAACTTGGGTTCCATAATGATCGTATAATAATGTGACCCACTTGTTTTTGTTTATCATTTGCTCTTCCTTGACACTGTGGGCAGTTACTAATTTGAGAAACACAAGTCTGACTTTAGTTAACTGCACACGTAGCTACAAGCAAACCACCTCTAATTCTGTGTGGTGGTGCTAACCTACTCAACCAGCAGAAGGTGTGAAGCATGGAGATGACATCATCATCTCTGCTATTGCAGCAAGTACACCTTCAGGAGGTGACAGTCACAAATCTCTAACTCTATGTGTTATATTCCAGAATTTACACCAGTTACCAACAAACCCAACTGGGTGAGCATATTACTTCTGAATGACCTTTGGAAAGTTGTTAAGAGACAACGTCTTCAAAGCCAAACTATTTTAGTCTTTAAAAAATGAAAAAAATGCAAAAAAACCCATGACAGCCTCCAAGCATGAACGCTGTTTGCATCTTGTTAAGTTCCTCTCAGTATGGTCAAACCCACCTAGGACACAACAAGCACCTCACTTTGTGCAGAGTATTAGACAATTTCTCAACAAAATGTTTCAAGTCATTTCCCCAGATCACCCACAGCTCCTGACTTCCTTTCAAGGGCTCTTTTAGATTTTAAGACTCTCATGATTTCAAACTTAGGAATTAGAAGCATCACTCAGATCTAGCCTAAAGTTATAGTTTTCCAGATGTTATTAACAAGATTCAAAGATAGTTCTATTTTCCTTCACTCTCTCTTACTTTCTCTGCTTTCAAAGGATATCAGTAACAAAAGAGGAAAACAAAGTTGCATTATGAAATTCTTTAAAAAAAAAATCAACAACAGTATTAAAGCAACAGTTACAGTGATGCAGGAATCTTAGATGAGAAAACAGGCTTTTGCATCCAAGCTAAAAATTTCAGACTGCTAATTTTACACTGGGTATTTCCTGAAAAAATAATCGGGAAATAAAACAATCATGTCCTTGAATTAGATAACTGCTGAAGAAATTTAAGGTATTTATACATTCCAGAACATGACTGAGATATGTAAACAAGACTAAGATGCCAACTAGTAGTAATTGTAAAATCCTTGCTAAATAGAGGAGAAACTTTGACTACACACAACACACAACTTAGCCAAGAGTAAAATCCAATTCTTGTCACTGTCAAGACCATAAAAAATGAGGAACACAACCTTAGCTCATCATCATTAGCTGGATTAAGAAAACTAAGTTTGCAACTGCAATCACAACCTTAAATTTTTTATAACTTTAATACAATAAAATATGTTGTCCTGTCCCACTTAGTGGGGTTGGGGAGAGGTTGTTTTAAATTCCCTCTGCAATTCTGGAAGAGAGGCCAATCTCTGAGTAGAGTCACTGCAAAATACTAGGAGGTACTGAATAATTTCACACAAGGTATTTATTGGCTTATTTAGCAGACTAGGATCTTGGTCAAGCAAGGAGGTTATTGTGCCGAATAACATACGGCCACCCAGTTTCTTACTTAACTTTCTATCAAATAAGAGGTGAACAGACAGAGAGAATTTAAGGGGTGGTAAAGGTACCACCACCCTCAGATCCAGCAATGTCTGGTGTAGATCTTCAGGTGGTGGGTGCACGCTGATTCCTGTGGGTTCACCCCTTTTGTAACTCAGTCCGAGCTGGTAACTCCGCCTCCATTCAGGGCAGTGTTATGCCACCTCAGCACAACTCGAATGCACAGGTGCAGACCGTTGTACCATGAATTTGGGGCATTAAATCACAAATTCTAGACATTACACCACTATCTCAATCAACAGGAAAACAAGTTTCATTGCCTCAAATGGAGCTTAAGCTCATCACCGGCCTGTCACAGCAGACATGTTTAGGACATACCAGATAATAGTGAATCTTGCAGAACTTATCTACTGCTATGCAGAACATGCAGAACTTGCAAAACTTATCTTTCCACAATATTTGAGGCATATGTTAACTCTTTCAGTCTCTTACATATGCTACTTTAAAAAGTGGTATTTGTCAGAAAGCACTTGCCTTAGGAAGAACATTTAAGAAGATCAGTATCAGTACAAAACTGTGAAAGACAGAAGATTACTCCTCACACATCTGCTTCACTTCATCACCTACTATTTTCTCACCTTGACCACAAGCCTAAGAAATCATCAGCAACTACTACACAGCCAACTGTCGATTTTTCACTGATGGTGCATAGAAAGGGAATGGAGAGACACCTCCACTGAATGCAGGAGTAACAGCAGAGCTCTTCAACAAATTATCATACAACTACAAGGCCTACACCTAGACTTCTCTATCAGATAGTTTTAGGCATGTCTCTGGCCTGTCTTATTCAATGTCCCTCAATTAATCTGTGGAGACACCTCACATTCACTTCACAGAGAGATCTGAGAAGAATTTAGGCCATCTATATAAAGACCAGTAAGTTCAATTGTTCCTTTTCCCCTAGAACAGAAGCCCATAACAATACATTAAAACAGTGGAAGGCTGTATTTCCTTCAGTTTTCTAATAGCCTTAATCTACACAAAACAGCTAAACTTATTTCTGATAGAAAAGACCTCAATTTTTATTGGTAATGTTTGTTACTGATTACTTCTTCTTAGAGGCACTCCTCTAGGAAATACATACAGAGGAAAATAAATGAAGCCTAAAACACAGAATAAATTGGTACAGGCTTTTGATGTATTGGATTGGGAAAGGCATTCCAGCAAAGATTTAATACTTCATTCACTGAACACTGTAACCTAACATTAAAGTCTGTACACCTGCACACTGGAGTAAGAAAACACCTAAACAGGGAAAACATAGGAAGAGTATTGAGACTCAGCAATGTTGTGTTGGACATGTGAGAGGTAAACCAAGATCACAGTAACAGTCGACTCCTAAAGGGTATAGAAAGCACACCAAGAACAAGTGCACTGTCACCAGCGAAGAGGATAGTAGGACATGCAGTGAAGATTCACGAGGTTACACTTCTGTCCTGGTTTTTAGCTGGGACAGGGCTGGGTTTCTTTTAGCAGCTAGAAT